TTATATAATAATACGCGTGAGAGTAAAAATAAATTATAAGACTGACTAACAACGGCAACGGTGACGTCTAAAATAATTCGCTGAAAACAATGTAATTTATTATGTGYACATCAATTCCAATAATTCAATTATAACCCGAGTTGCGTGTTTTTCTTTCCGAAAATACGTATAGTTTATCGTATTATTATTCATTTATAGTTGAACAGTTGAAGAATGATTGTGTACTCCTTACCTTGTATGTGATGGGTGTCCGCATGACCACGAAGACACAATCGGAGTGCACTTTCTGTTGWCATTTCATTTTTTTTTTCATTTTAGAGTTTTAAAAAATAAATCCAAATTGAAAATTGTACGTTTAATATACTTTGTTTAATTGTGTACATAAAAAATAAAATATTTTTTAGGGGTTATGTAAAATAGAAAAAAAATGTATTTTTCTTCTTTAATTTGTATAGGGCCCATGAAAAAAATCTGCCCTGGGCCCCGCAAAATCTCCCGCCGGCACTGGTGTGGACAATGTGTTTATCGTAATATCGTTATCAATGGAACCGTAATCAAGTACCAGCATCATTATTCTATATTATTTTAATATTCTATGACAATTGACTGCAACGGTMGGCACACCTTAATTGAATCGCGATAATAACAAGTCCCTGCAAAAACAAAAAGTCTGGTACATAGTATATATTATACTGATATTTACATTCATTTATTTGAAAATAAAAATTATTAGGCCATATAGTTATATAAAATAAAAAAATTATTTAATTATTTATACAAAAATAATATACATATACATATAATATACATCTATTAAGTAAAATATTATAGTATGCAGATGTAGAGGAAAGATTTCAAGCCCCTACATTTAATAATTTTTAAATTAGGTAGGTGCCTACTACTAAATGTTCAAGATTTTTGCTCTATTCTGACTTAGAGCTGGCGGTATTTACGGTATACCGGTGAGTCACCGGTATTTGGAACTACCGGTATTAAAAAATACCGGTATTTGAATATTCCGGTATACCGGTATTTTTCGGTACGGCCAGTAAAGATACGGTATTTATCGAATGTACGGTATTTACCGAAGAGACGGTATTTACCGAAAAATACCGAATTACCGGTATACCGATAGAAACCGGTATGTAAATACATACCGAATACCGGTGAGTGAATTTCACATACCGCCAGCTCTATTCTGACTAC